CCAGGTCTCGGGACATCTCCGCCTCTGTTTCTATTTCTCTGGACTCCGGCCCACAGACAAATGTCGATACCAGTTACCGCGTTATCCAAGTTTTAAGCAAGCAAAAAGTACGAAAATGAAACTCAGCGTCGGAATATTTTAAAATCCCGAGGTCTAGATGACGTTTGGTCACGTCGTCTTGAGGCGATGTAAGTCGAATTTTAAACAACACCTGTAAATAATAATTAGATAACGGTCCAAGAATTCCGGATTAACGCCCACACAACGCTGGGGATTCGAATTAACCGTTTGTGTGGGCTCTGGGTCCAGATCCGTTTCTCGGTTGTCTGTTCCAGGCCCGCCCTCGTTTTCCTTTTCCTTGGCCCGTTTTTAGTTTCGTGTTGAGTCAGGAACTAGAGGGAGGGTACAAGGAATTTTTTGTGGTTTTGATATGAACAATGTAACACTAATGATGATAATAATAAGTATGCTGGATATATAAAATAATTAATAAGTGGTTCTTGAAGATAATAAATCGTAGATACCAAATTTTTTTTCTAATCAATTTAGCTTTCGTACTGAATTTTTTGCCTCTTTTACTATTACGAAAATTTAAACTTTTGTGTCTACAAAAAGCTTTCTGTCGATACAAATTTTTTTGTAGGATTTCCGTCAATGCCTAAAATAGAAAGCTCGACACATTTCAGATTTGATTGTCATGTAATAATTGCTCTTAAATAAATAAAACGTATACTTTTAGCTATAACGATACCTTTTACGAAAGTTTAATATTTATATAAATATGTGTAAGTATCCAAGAGTTACACTTTTTGCCAGAAAAATCAATTTATTTTTATTTCCCGAGTGTAAGCTAAGGAAAAATACTTCCATCGGGCTGGTTACTTTCACATTTTCTGGATGTGTTATGACCCCTATAATCTCCGAAACTACCAGACCGATTGTTGTCAAATTTTATATGGGATTTATGAATATCGTTAGATGATGAAACGCTAACCAAAATTGGTCTAATCATTCCCACCAAAAATAAAACATCGCTTCAAAATTGTCCATAGTAAATGGGTTTAAAATTGTATAAAATAACATCGTCCTACATGTGTAGTTTATGAATCCGTGTTAATATTTTACTCGAGACATTCAGATTTTTGGAAAAAAATTAAAATTGTATAACATTTTGCGATTTAATTTTGAAACGACAAAAGCGAATGCTCTGAAATCTTGTAAACGCTTTAAAGTTATCGTAACCATAGTAATTTTTTAACCAAAATACATCTGTTTATCATCAGCCCCAAAAAATTGATGACGACATCCCAAAATTTTAACGAATAAATCCCATCTAAAATGTCCAGAATATGATGAGTTTATAGGTACTTGCCATATATCATTCATATTTTTGAGAACTGCTTATACAAGGTGTCTCAAAAAAATAATGAATTAGTCAGTTTATTTTATTGATTTAATCAGTACGGTCCTATCTTATCATTTTCCAAATTCTTGATTTATTATATTGAAAAAACAATATACAATATATATTTGCTTACAAGAATTAAAAAGAAAAATTGGTCCAAAATTTTGTGATGATTTGCAAGGACACGTATATCAACTTGGATTGACGCACCGTAATATTAAAAATAACAGTATTGTATTCCCAAAATTTTCTGTGGAAATGAAGTGAGCCGTTCCTGATTTAATCAATAAAATAAATTGATACATTCATTTATTTTTTTGAATCAGCTGTTTAAGCAAATCTAAAAAATATGAATGCAATGCATTTCGGGTAGATTTAGGAATTTAGCTCGTTACTACCCAAATTTGCAATTTAACACCTTTAATCAGTTTTATCTTACCAAGTACTAGGCCCTCCCACCCACCGACTATTTTTTCAGGGAATATGTTATTTGCCTAAATAAGTTTTATCTTACCAAATAGTTGCCCCGCCCACCCAGCCTTTACTTTCTTAGCGGGTATGTTATTTGCCAAAATCAGTCTTATCTTACCAAGTACTAGTACCGCCCACCCGCCCCATATTTTCTCAAAGGATATATCATTTACCAAAATAAAACTTATGTTAGCCCAGCCGCCCTTTATTTTCACAGAGGGTAGTACTTGCTAGTACTTGCTAAAATAAGTCTTATCTTGGCAAATAACATATCCTCTGAGAAAATAGGGGCGGGCGGGCGGGGTTAGTACTTGCTCAGATAAAACTCATTTTGGCAAATGACAAATCCTCTGAAAAAACAGAGGTGGGTGGGCGGGGCTAGTACTTGCTAAGATAAGACTGATTTTGGCAAATGCCATACCCTCTGAGAAAATGGAGGGCGGGCGGACAGGGCTAGTATTTGCTAAGGCAAAACTTATTTTGGCAAGTGACATATCCTCTGCTAAAATAGGGGCGGGTGGGCGGGGCTAGCACTTTTGCCCCTATTAAACTTGTAAAAACTTGTTAAATTTAAAAGGTGTTAAATTGCCAATTTCCATAGTAACGAGTTAAATTCCTAAATTGATTGGATGTTTATTTTTTAACAATTCAGTCATTAATTTTTTTGAATCACCCTGTTTAACCAAATGTAAAAAATATGAATGCAGTGATAAATCACAAGTATAGATTGATCATATTTTGCATATTTTAGATAATAGGAATATTTATTTATCCGGCAAAATTTTTGGATACGTCATCAATTTTTTGGAGGGAATAAGCGAATATATATATATATTTTTTTTTATTGATTAACGTTACCCAACAGGCCGGAGGCCCAATTACAGGGTAACAGGGGACATACACAACACCCAGAGCAGGGTGGGAATCGAACCCACGACCCAAGGTGTAGCAGGCAAGCGCGATGCTACCTAACCCACCCGGGTCCTTTTGATTAAAAAGTTATTATGTTTACCATAAATTGAAAACATTTGCAAGATTTCAAAGTATTCAGTTTGGCAAATTCAAAGTTAAATTGCAAAATGTTGTTTTAAATTCTGATTTTTTTCCAAAAATGCGGACGCTTCCGGTAAAAATTCAACACGGAGTCATAAACTACATGTATAGGACTATGCTACTTTATACAATTTAAAACCCATTTACTATGTCGTGTTTTACCATCTACGTCATATTCGTAACATAAATACAAAATTTGACAATAATCCGTTCAGCACTTTCGGGGATTATCTAACTAATAAAAATCCGGACGACAGACAGACAGACGGAAACCGAAAACCTATTTCTTCGTACTGTAGGGGTCATGAAACATCGAGAGTCGGCCGACGGATTCGTTCGCTTACGCTCGGGAAGTAAAAAGAGGAGGAAAAAGAGAGAATAAAATAAACAATCTACTATAAATATCGGACTAACTTTATATATTTTTTTACTGATATTAATGCACTTCTTCGATCGGCGCCCAGGATGTAATAGGTAATAATGTACAAAGTAAAATCCCACTCGTTCGGTAAATAACTATTACCCACCACAGTGGGATAAATTTCACTTATCGCACCCATATGAATAGAGAGTAATTTACACCGTCGCACTCAAACGGGTGGGATCACTCTAACCGCCTTCATTTTTTAATACGAATAAAAGTATTTTCCATTTATTTAAATTTTTAATTTTCGTATGATGATAGTGCTTTCAGCTCCCTTGTAGCGAATATAACTTTTAAATATTTTATCAAAAATAGCGTCGTTGTTTACTTCATGAAGACGTTAATTCAGACTGAACCATTAAAATAATGGAAATTCGGCGTTCCAAAAACTTTTTGAATAATACAGTGTCATAAACTGCAATAGAAAGTTGTTTTAGTAGTTTAACTTTTCTGGAATTTGACCACCAATATTGTTAAATTTGAATAGACAACTAAATAGATCAACAATTAAATATTAAAGTTACAGGTAATTTAAAATTTAGTTAATATTTTTTTAACACCGTTTTATTATTCACTTTAATAATTAAGCACGAAATCAAAAATAAAATCTAATGATAAACCCTGTTTAAAATTGTATGTTGACGATGTGGGACACTACATGTGTACAGACTTCAGACAAATCAATATTTAAGTAAACAACTCAAATAAAAATTTAACATTGCACTACATCACACTGCGTTTAAAGTGTCGTTGAAAAATATAAATTTAATGACCCTTTTACCACAGGTCAAAACAAGGGTTAGTTAGCCGCTTCACCCAATCCATAAATAAAAGTAGTGTCTCAACCGTACTTTTCGATTCAAACATTACCTTAAGTGGTCTAATATATTTAATGCAAACCATTTGAAGCACCACTTTCCCAATCTTTATGTGAAGAGAAAAATGAACTGTCGGTATTGATTCGTTACAAATAGTTTTTTCACAACGAATTTTTTTATTAACGCTTTACCGATTTATGAATTTTTTTAAATAATCGACTAGAGTCCCGGCGAGTACATGAACGATTTAATAAAAGTTTTTTAGTACCTCGGCTGCAAAAAATTTACATGCAACAGCTCTCTGTGCTTTGTGTGCTTCGAGTGCTTTCAGAAATTGGGCGCGTCAAATTTGAAGTGAAAAGCGTCAATCAGAATAGCGTTACAATATTGATTGTATTAGCATGTGAAAACATTTTTATAAAAAGTGGAAAGGTTGCTGAATCAGATCAAATCCAGAGCTTTGCATTAGTAAATTCGGTATTGTTGCGATTAATTTCCAGCAAGCGTGCGGCTTGTTTAGTGAAGACTAAAAACGGTGTATATTTTATAATAATAGCTATAAAATTTGCCCTCGCTTTTCCGTGGAGAAAATAGAACTAGTAACCTGGTTGAAGGGTCGTTATATAAATCACAAGCGTAATAACCCCATAAGTACGTAAAATTACTGCTAGCTAAGGTTATTCTGTCGGTAAACACGGTACGGGCCGGAGCGGAATTTTTAAGCACAAATTATAACGGGATCGAGATATCCGCAATCGACTCATCCTCAAACCAGTGTAATCGTCACGGATTACCGCGATCACTATTTTTTTAAATATAAATGACTCACCTGAAGTCTGTAGCAGGATGTGCAGGATCGCTGCAGCCACCACATATAGCAACATGTTGAATAATTTCGGTGTCACGCTAGCTTCATCCTCGAGTATAAACTCGTGTTGTTCTTCATCACACGATTTGAATTTTGCAACGGGAACTGCACTACAGCATGTCTGAAAAGAAAGAATAATTGATTAGGAGTAGCTTTTTTCCGGTGAAAAGTCAGCAGGACCCGGCCCGCGATGAAATTTGCATATCGCTGTTCGGGCCCTAATTCCCCTCGTGATAGTGCCCGGCATACAAAATTCAAGTGAGAATTTATTTTTTGCGATTCTTCTGAGTTATGGACCGACCTGTTTTGGCAAAGCTTATCAGAGGAACGTGATGTGAGGCGCGCGTTCTACCGGAGCACAGCACCGCACTGTTCCGCATCCGAACACCATGTGGCGTCGCGACGCCGAGCGTCGGTTATACCACAAGAGGAGGGCTCTTGGAGGGGATAGAACGCCTGCGGTTGACGTTGATGCGTTTCGTTCGACATTTGATTCTTGCTACCTGTGGGAAATTACGATCGAGTTTGTGATTGTTACAAGTTCGTTGAGTTTTCTTGGCCTTTTTTGTCGCCCCTTCCGAATGTTTGAATATGTAATTTTATGCCGGAGAGCTCTTGAATGCATAATATCAGAGCTTTGCGACTCAAATTTGGTTAATTGTAGAGAGGCGCGCGCGCGGGATCTTAAGTGTAGCGGAGACATGAGGAAAAAGTTCGGTTGGAAGAACACGAGGTGATATAATTTTATCAAGTATTTACCGCAAGATTTTCTACTAGTTTAATACTATTAGAGGAAGTGTACTTTTCAGTGTGTAAAAGTAAGACTAAAATAAAAAGTGTATTCTATTAAAAAATTCTAAAATCATCGAAATGCCAATTTGTAGCAACAACAAATGTTAACGTCAAATTTACTGGAAATTATTCTTGGACGTTTTTTTATGGTGTGTAGTAATAAAATATTAAAACATCGAAACGAAATAGGTAAAGGTTAATTTTTTGTGTTAAAACGTGATTTAAATTTAATGTTAACAAATACTGTTGGTGGATACAAAAGTTGGAGGTGTCCGGATAATCAAATAAAAAAATATTTCAAGAATTTTTGAGAAACTTCTACATTGAGCAACTTATTTCAGAAGAAATTATGAATTTTTTTACCAATCTTGTGCAAAAAATAACGAAAAAATTATAGTTTCAGAATAATAACTAAGCCCCACTTCGATAAAATGGTGTATTTTATGATTAGTATAAAAAATTTAAAAAATTAATAAAAATGGTGGAGGCGCCGGGATACTTTATAATTACAAAATAATTTACCAAAATGTCCAAATAAATGAGCTTTTGTCTTCCATAAAAAATGCGTTCTTGTGCATTATTCGACGAGGTATGCCAGGAACATTAAATGAGAAAGAGCTTTCGAATTGATACTTAATATATTTGAGAAATAATTGTGATAATTTTTAAATATATTGATGTATGAACGAAATAACAAAACGTCGAATGTTTTGAATCAAAAAAATTTGCTGTTTGGATCTGAATTGAATAAATTTAGTTTTTTGTCTAAAACATGTGCTGTTCTTTTTTTGAAGTTTTACGAGGAAAATAAGCACAAAAATGTGTCCTGAAAAAAAATTAACCGCTTTGAAATTAAATTGAACAATTTTTCCAATTAAAATGATAGCGGTGGCGAGATAAATTATTATATGTAATTTAATAAACATTTCAAAGATTTTTTAACTTTTTCATTACGAAATTTTTCATCAGGAAGAAATTATACTTTATATGATACATACACAAATTATAAGCTAAGAAAATGAGCTTTTTTCGGACTAGTTTGTACAACTTTTTACAGATTTGGCATCTTGACAAGATTCCACAAAAAATTATGTCTTTTGGGCCCAATTTAACCAAAATCCCCCACAATAAGAACTTTTTTTTTATTTAAAATCCTACGAAACTTTTAGATAAAATAATATGATTATATAAACATTACTCTACTTATCCTTTGAATCTTTCAGTACTTGAATAAAATGACAAAATATTCACAGATATGAGCTCACACCGAGAGAATTATTTTCGGATAAAATTAAACGGTTTTTCTTAAAAATGTATTTTCGCAATTATTTGGGCATGTACCCGGAGACAGACACAAATTTGTGATCCTGATGAGATTTCCGAAAACTAGTGCCCATTTTGGGTCTAATATGGACACTTTCTTTGTAGACATAGAAATGGTGAAGCCGCCGGCATAACCTATAATTTTTAAAATTTTTGATAAAAAGATTTCTCTAATTTCTGCATTAAATGAGATATTCAATAAGAAATTATACTCTTCTTAAAATGAATTGATGCCTGCACACAATAAAAACACATACAGAAATCCAAAATGTATCTTTTCCAAACTGATTTTACGAGTCCAGTTTTGTAGATAAAAATCAGTTCTTGTGTATTTTCAAACCAGATTTCCTGATTTTTCACAAATTTGGGGTCTTCAGAAGATTCCTCAAGAAATGATGTGTTTTGAGATTAATTTAACCAAGATCCATCCAACAAACAGTGTTTTTTTATTTAAAAATTTTACTAAACTTCTTGGTAAAATAATATGATTAAGTAGAAATCATTTTACAGTTGGAAGTATTTGAATAACACGACAAAATCTACACAGATCTGGGCTGACACGGAGAGAACTATTCTGGGACGTATTTTAAAATTTAATTATTTTGCTAAAAAATGTATTTTCTCCATTATTTGGCGAATTATGGGGAAAATAGACTGTGATCCGGAAGAGATTTCCGAAAACAAGTATATATTTTGGAACCAATTTGGACATTTTATTTAAAAAAAATGTGAAGGTGCCGAAATAATATTAGATTTTTAAATTTTTTTAACTTTTGCTTTAAATAATATTTTTAACAAGAATAAATTATATATTTTTACTTCCCGAGTGTAAGTGAAGGAAGTATTGTAATCAAGTCGGTCGGCGGACCCTTCACTTCTACGTTTTTTTGAACCTTTCATGACCTCTACAACATGAAGAGATAGGTCTCCCGTTTCCGTCTGTCTGTCTGTCCGTTTGTCTGTCTGCCGTCACGGATGTTTATTAATTATTAGACAGATAATCTCCGAAAGTACTAGCCGCTTGTTGTCAAATTTTATATTTATATTAGGAATATCATGTAGATGGTAAAACGCTAACCAAAATTGTCTAAACATCCCCACCAATAATGTCGAAATTGTACATGGTGAATGGGTCTTAAATTGTTTGAAATAACATAGTCCAACCCAAGTAATTTATGATTCCGTATTGAGTTTTTAACCGAAACGTCCCGATTTTTGAAAAAAATCAAAGTTATAAAACATTTTGCAATTTAAATTTTGAATCTGCCAAACCGAATGCTTTGAAATCTCGCAGATGTTTTAAGGCTATGATAGGCATGATAACAAAAAAATAATCTTTTACAAACTTATTTTACAAACTTATTTTACAACAAGTTTTGTAAATAAAAATCAATCCTTGTGCATTATCAGACCAGATTTTCTGAAAATAATCACAGATTTGGGATCTTGAGAAGACTCCACAAAAATTATGACTTTTAAGATTAATTTAATCAAGATCCACTAGGATAACAACATTTTTTTTTAAGTAGAAATCATCCTACTCTTTAAATCTTCCAATATTTGAATACACAGATGTAAGTTCACACCGAAAGAATTCTTTTCAGACGCGAATATTTCAAAAAATTATTTATTTATGTTCTTCTGTCGAGTAGGAATGGAAACTAATTATAGAATCTAGGATCTGAAAAAGTAAAAAAAACCGCTAATCGTAACTTTTTTTATTAAAATCATTCTTATCTTAGCAAGTACTAGAGCCGCCCCCCCCCTTCTTCTCATTTTAACGACTAATTTTACTTCTGCTTAGTACAATCACTGAAAAGGAGACAGGGAGGGTGGGCGGGGCTAATTATGTTCTTCTGTCGAGTGAAAATGCAAACTAATTATAGAATCTAGGATGTGAAAAAGTAAAAAAAAGCGTTAATCGTACCTTTTTTCTTGGAAAATATATCATTTGCCAAAATTATTCTTATCTTAGCAAGTACTAGCCCCACCCACCCGCCCTCTATTTTCTTGGAAAATATGTCATTTGGCAAAATCATTCTTATCTTAGCAAGTACTAGCCCCGCCCACCCGCCCTCTGTTTTCTTGGAAAATATGTCATTTGCCAAAATCGTTTTTATCTTAGCAAGTACTAACACCGCCTACCTACCCTCTTCTCATTCTAACCACTAATTTTATTTCTGTTCAGTATAACATCATTCAATTCATTCAGTTCGGATAAAATCAATCACTGAAAAAGAGACAGGGTGGGTGGGTGGGGCTAATTATGTCCTTCTGTGGAGTGGGAATGGAAACTGAAACTTTAAAATTTTCTTTCATTTTTATAACCTTACACCCAATATTATATTCTAGTTAGAAAAAATTGTGGTTTTTTTTCATTGTCTTAAATTCTAAACACCATAAAAAAACATTGGCAGACGCGAATAAAAATAAAAAATTCGAACAGCTTCACATAAGCAATTTAAATTTGTCATTAAAATTATGGAGCCTCAATGATAACAAAATAATATATATATCTAAACAAAAATCATGTGTTAATTGAACGAAATGAAAATATCACAAAGATCTAGGTTCATACTTCTTCTTTACGTGGAGATGTAATTTTGGTTAACCACTTACGACAAAAGTAAGCGCTATAATACATGACCTGATCTGATCTGACCTGAGTTGACCTGAGTTGACCTGAGTTGACCTGACCTGACCTAACCTGACCTGACAATTTAAATTTGATCACATTATAGCCATTTTTTATTAGCGTGGAAAACATTAACACAATACTAAATTTATTAATTACAATATTAACCCCAATTTAACAAACCCCATGTTTTTGCTTCTAAAAAACGTAAAAAATTCTCGAACCAGTATAATTTAATTTATTCAGACTTAATTAAAAATAAACACCAATCGCCAAACTTCAAAGTGAGTTACATGATTTGTTAGCGAAAAGCTCTTGTTTCATCCAAATTTTCAGTTGATAAATCATCGAATGAGTTAATTTACAATTCCTACTAAACCAAAGCCCTCGTTTCTGACAAATTTAACAAAATTAATAAATCTAAAAACAGCGATAGTTACTTTATATCTGCTTTTGCTTTCCAAACTGTTCATTATTTTATAAAAAATTAACGATACTTTTCTTACGAGAACGAAAATGACGAAATTTTATTTTGAGAAGGTGCCGTTATCTCTGATTTTAATCACATCCAAAGATTAATTATCGAAGTCGAACACTGCGTAAGCATAATTACAAATTTTTTTCTCATT